ATGCAAGAAGATCTTAATTCTTTGTATCAATGGCTGTGTTCAAATAAACTCAAACTGAATGTGAAAAACACTAACTTTATGGTATTTTCCAGAGCGGCAAATGCTGACTCCATAAGCCGTGAATTAAAAATCAAAGATGAAAATATCGAAGAGGTGAAAATTGTCAAGTACCTAGGAATATACATAGACAACAAACTAAAGTTTGATGAGCACGTTGAGTATACAGTCAAAAAGATTGCTAAAAAAATTGGCCTTATAAAGAGATCGTGTAAGTACTTGGGAAGAAGATATAAAACGTTGGTGTACAGGTCAATAGTAGAACCGCACTTTATATACTGCCCCACGATTTTCTTCCTAGCGGGGGACTCCCATGTAGATAAGCTGCAAAAAATGCAAAACCGAGCGATGAGATTCATCCTCAACAAACCGTATGACACACCAACAAGATGTATGCTTGAAACCTTGAATTGGTTAAGCGTGAAGCAACAAGTTTTTTACCACGCTATGAAATTTGTGTACAATATTAAGAAGGGCAACCTGCCGGATTATCTTAGCGATAATCTCCGATATATAAATGAGACGCATACATATTTGTTGAGAGAGAATAACAGCTTCAGACCTCCGAAGTATAGAACAGAAGTGGACAAAAAAAATATTTTCTATAAAGGCTTAAAGTGCTTCAATGAATTACCAGAGGCTATAAAAAATTGTGATACTATCACTCTTTTCAAGCGGCTGCTATTTGACTATTGTAGAACGCAGCCTACAAGATAGTGATGTATCAACAATAGCGTGGATTGGAAACTAGGCCTTTCCAACCACCAAGATATCGAGACTAGGCGGATCGGAAACTCGGCCTTTCCGACTACCTAGACCCTTAGATAATAAACAATAAACGAGCGGATTGGAAACTAGGCCTTTCCAACCGTTAACCGTCACGAAAGCGCGACTGGGTGGATCGGAAACTCGGCCTTTCTGACCACCCAGGAGATATCAATAAATGGAGTAACCCAAAAAGAATAGCGCGGATTGGAAACTCGGCCTTTCCAACCGTCTACATAACTTCCAGGAAATTGCATGCGTGTATAATGACATAAAATAATTGCAGTGATAAAGAAATAATGTTATTTAAAAATTTCTGTAGAGCATTTTGTATTTTGTATTTAATATTTAATATTTATATTATATTTTAAATCTAAAATCTAATTATAAGAATGTTAAATCTTTGTTGCAATATAAGTCTAACAGACTGTAAAAAATAAATAAATAAATAAATAAATAAATCCCGGGACTAATCCCGGGATCCCGGTATTGTGACAACGCCATCCCGAAAATCCCGGGATAGCAAAAAGCCGAAAAATTAACATCCCTAGTACATACATACACTGGCGATCAAACGTAAGTGCATGCTGAGTTTGGTTCAATATTTGTCGTTTTTTAATTTAAATTTGTTTGTTATTTTTTATTTATAAACATATGGTTCATTTCGTAACCTCTTCTTCTTCTTCTTTTTTGGCGCTGTAACCGCCTAAGCAATTTTGGCCGAGTTCAGCAAAGCACGCCAGTCGTTTCTCCTCTGTGCCAACTGACGCCAATTGGAAACGCCAAATGAAGCCAAGTCCTTCTCCAACTGATCTTTCTTGAGTTGAATACTTTCAGAGCTGGAGCGTCGGTGTCCATTCGAACGAC